TCACAAACAAACGCACCCTGAGCTCTGTTCTCCTATGTAATGAAGTGTCGAGCGTTGTCATATGCTCCATGATTTTACTATCCAGTATATCCAGTTCCGATTGATGTTCTCTGAAATCGTAATTCATACGTAAAAACACAATAAGTCTGTACAGAACGCTTAGGATTGAGAGAATGTATGCGATGGAGAGTAAAGAACTTACTTCAGTTGTGCCTCCAATGCTGTCAAAGTACTAACAGGAGGACTTTTCAAAGAGTAAAACTCTTCCGTTGCAACGGCATTGTTCTGAACATCAATATCATAACAACTGTAACCACTGAAAGTAGAATCACCTTTCTTCTCTTGCATGGCGGTTCATATAGATGGAAACCATCCTTTTCAAGGTTATTCAATCCATTTCTGCAAAGCAATAATAAACACATGGACTAATAAAGACTCAACCAAATTAAGTCAGATCAAGAACATAACTAACATTTTGATATCTGGTGCAGGTGTACTGGATATATCTGTCGGTTCCCCTTCTTTTGCAGAAGGTTCTCTATGAGGCATCTAAAATAACGTATTCTCCGTGTAATCTATGAAGCATGTAAAATGTAAAGACATCATACACTCCGCGCAGTAGATTTGGCGGAGCATTGCAGATTTGCCGACTTGGCAATCACATCTCTGTAAGGTAGGGTAGATCAGTGATTTATCGATGATCTACCCTACCTGACAACACTAGCATGCTCCGCCCGATCCACTGAGGAGAAGGACGATAGATGTATAATTATAAACTAGACTGTGAAGAAATATCAAGCATACCTCCTCATTTGAACATCTCGACTGGTTTTGAGTATTATCATCACCGGGACCATCAAATAACGAAACATCGCTACTTTGAGTAGTACTTTCAGCTAAGCGTTTTCTGTGAAGAATCACCTAAATTACGAATTTAGGCTTCAAGTATGAACATCTTAACATTGTCGTTTTCTTTAGCGACATTGCTTTAAAGGGGAAGAGTATTGCGAAGATTTGCGCCAATGAGATTACAAGACAATTCAAAACAACTTAAGGACGAAAATGGACATCATAGGGACCAGTCATACTTCAAAAAAAAAACGCGAAAAAGCGTGAAAACGCGCGGGAAAGCCCAAAAGCGCCAGAAC